TATATCTAACGGGAAGCTCAGCGACTACATGCAGATAGTGGAGACCCTAAAACGCCAGTGCTGCACATTGCTCAGCACTGACGCAGGAAGCACCTCTAGTGGCCATGTGAATGACTGCCACTGGAGGTGTCCCTAGAAAGTAATGTAAACACTGCATTTTCACTGAAAATGCAGTGTTTACATGACAATGCCTGCATGGACAGGCTATAGACATCAGAACAACTACATTAAGCTGTAGTTGTTCTGGTGACTATAATAACCCAATTTAAGAACTTTTCACCGACACTGCATTAGGTACAGCAGGTTGGTTTGAAATTATAACATTTTAAAGCATTAGGATGTACAGATCAAAATTGAGCAGCGAGACTGTTCAATTCTATACACTAAAACTGCTTCATTAAGCTAATGGTGTCTTAAGATCTATAGTATCCATTTAAAGTTACTTGCAGTAGCTATACTTACCATTAAGATTCTGAAAAACTGCTGGGTGCTACACCTGATCCACGCTTCTGAGCTCTACTAGCCTACTTGGGTAGGAGGACAACTACCATATTTTAAAAACGACCCAGTTACTCTTCCCTTAAGACCAGAGGTTGGAAGTAGTTTCTCCTTGTTCTCTACAGTCATATACTCTATGGCTTCAGGGCAATAGGTTCTCCACAATATTCCATTACAAAAGCAAATGTCATTATTTCGACAAGGAATCGGCTAAGAGATTTTATATGCAGCTGCGTCATAGACCTTTGTATTGTTTTCAAAACTCTATGACCGGGCTTAACTGGTTTATTGCTCTTTGCTAGCCTAGTTATTTACTGTTCCACATTTCTTTTTACTTCAATTTAAAAAAAATGTTTTCTTAGAGACATGCTTTCATTACTTTCCCATGTATTCGTTCCTGCAAGATCCAGTCATAATTAACTTAGTTAATATTTCTAATAGCCTACGAGATTGTGCGTCTTATTTTAAAACTGAGAAAGATTAGTCTTTAAATCAGGAATCTACTTTGCAATAGCATCCTACTTAAAAAGACAAACGAAGCATCAGGGCCACTACATTTTAATGAATCCTTAAATTTAATCAATCCTGCCCTCACTTCTTTGTAAACCATGGTTTTAGTCAGACAGCCACTAGAGGTGCTTGCTATTACAGCCCTATAATCCTTGTGGTGCTGATGTTTGATGCCTTCACGGCCAGAATCAAGACGTTGAACATTTGCCATGAAGATGCATTGGTATAATGTATCTTAATGATGAGAAACTGATTGGCTCAGCACAGCAATTTCCACGCATGCCCCTGTAGCGAAATATTGGATGAGCTCATCAGTAATAACCAGGTTTCACATGCATTCACGCCAGGTTGATCAGCTCATTCTACTTGCAAACACCCCCTTTTTGGGCATGTTTGTCCCTTTGGGCTGTTCTGGTTGCGTGATTCACATCAGTGACCCACACTTTTACCCATCCCACCGAAATCCTGCTTCACCGGACACTGCTGTTAGGGGGTATGGATTTACTTGAACAATGAAAGCAAAAGCTTAGCATAGGGTGTAAGTGTTCTGAAAACTATATCCTGTTATTATTTCCCTCGAGCATCAACTCCACCAGGTACAAGATGCTTGGAAGGTATAACTCTCTTAATGTTTTCTGTCGACAAGGTTCTGTAATTAGGCCCATCATAATTGTCAGCACCAGGCCCAATTGGCTTTTAATCCGGCCCTGGTGGCTGCAAGCAGCACGTGATGAAATGCAAATGAAGTTTCTAATGTCAGACGTGACAATTGTTTTTCCCCTGATGTTTGATTTATTATTTTATTTATTATTATAAGTAACATGTGGTCTGATAATTTCTTCTTTTTTGTGATCTTCTTATTCCACAATAAAAACAAAGATTGAAAAGAGGGAGGACATGACACCTGTACTGTAAATATAAACTTTGCCTTAATTATCCCCAATACATTGAATATATCATATATAGTAGAGATACATGATGTATTAAATCATTCAGTCCAGCTGTGACCGCCAACCAGCACAGTATTGCTTACCATGGCAGCTGGTGCGATCCCTACTAAACTGGGAAGCACTGCACTTGTATGAATTACATTCCCCATGAAACTTACTCAGTCTAAAAGATTCTTAAAAGTAGTTAAAATTATCCCTCCCGTAAAAGGGGCATGTTACCTTTTTTCCCTCTTCAATTTAGTAGATTAAACCCCCAAATAAAATTATATATATATATATATATATATATATATATATATATTTGTCCTGTAGGTTTTCTTTCCGGGATGGAGGGGGAGATGTTAGAGCAGACTGCAAAACTGATAAACTGCCTCGTGATACAATCTATCAGTAGTAAATAGGTTTTGAGGAGAAAATCTAGCGGTGCCTTCGAGGGCAACTGCCTAGTGTGAGAAAATCTAGCAAGCTAACTGCATTGGTCTGAAACTCCTGTAATATCAGGTGAGCGTATTCAGGCTGACTGTGCCTTCGAGGGCACCTATCTGTAAGTCAGTAGCTAGCTGGCTGTCTGCCTCCAAAAGAGAACCACTTTCCTGTTAGTTTAAACGAGGCGCAGCAGATCCCAAGTGCTGGAAACTCGGGGAGATAAGGCTCCGTTTTGTCAAGGTGGTCAGTGTCATGGAGTGAGCCTAAAGAGCCATTTGAAAGGACACAACGTCCTGAGCACGCAGCCCCCGATCTGCCTACCCTCATCCTGCTGTTACATGGGAATCCCTGCATACAGAGTGAAGGCGATGCTGCTCCATCCTGCTCCTACATGGGAATCCCTGCATACAGAGTGAAGGGGATGCTGCTCCATCCTGCTGCTACATGGGAATCCCTGCGTACAGAGTGAAGTGGATGCTGCTCCATCCTGCTGCTACATGGGAATCCCTGCGTACAGAGTGAAGGGGATGCTGCTCAATCCTGCTGCTACATGGAAATCCCTGCGTACAGAGTGAAGGGGATGCTGCTCAATCCTGCTGCTACATGGAAATCCCTGCGTACAGAGTGAAGGGGATGCTGCTCAATCCTGCTGCTACATGGGAATCCCTGCGTACAGAGTGAAGGGGATGCTGCTCAATCCTGCTGCTACATGGGAATCCCTGCGTACAGAGTGAAGGGGATGCTGCTCAATCCTGCTGCTACATGGGAATCCCTACAGAGTGAAGGGGATGCTGCTCAATCCTGCTGCTACATGGGAATCCCTGCGTACAGAGTGAAGGGGATGCTGCTCAATCCTGCTGCTACATGGGAATACATGGGAATCCCTGCGTACAGTACAGAGAAGGGGATGCTGCTCAATCCTGCTGCTACATGGGAATCCCTGCGTACAGAGTGAAGGGGATGCTGCTCAATCCTGCTGCTACATGGGAATCCCTGCGTACAGAGTGAAGGGGATGCTGCTCAATCCTGCTGCTACATGGGAATCCCTGCGTACAGAGTGAAGGGGATGCTGCTCAATCCTGCTGCTACATGGGAATCCCTGCGTACAGAGTGAAGGGGATGCTCTCAATCCTGCTGCTACATGGGAATCCCTGCATACAGAGTGAAGGGGATGCTGCTCAATCCTGCTGCTAGATGGGAATCCCTGTATACAGAGTGAAGGGGATGTTGCTCAATCCTGCTGCTACATGGGAATCCCTGCATACAGAGTGAAGGGGATGTTGCTCAATCCTGCTGCTACATGGGAATCCCTGCATACAGAGTGAAAAAGATGCTGCCCCATCCTGCTGCTACATGAGAATCCCTACATGCAAAGTGAAGGAGATCCATCGTTTTTTCTACCCTCAAGAGAATCAATACAGTATGACTGTCCACCAGGAGGCGGCCTTATATACTTTTGGGTGAGATCTAACCTAGACTTTATTACAGAATGTATTTTTGATTTTTCATCATTTTTTTGCATTTTTTAGTCCATATTGTATTGGATCCATACATTCAGGATTGGGACAGATCATTGACACTTAGAGTATACTTTAGGAACTCTGCTGCACAGATTACTGACATCTGTGTGCCCTCCATTTTTTTAAAGTTATTTGCTTTGTGCATAGGAATTGCAGGCAGTATTGTGTATATATATATATATATATATATATATATATATTTGTTTGTACTTTAGTGTATTGAGTTATATATTTATGGTGATTTGGCACGAAGCACTTTAAGTAATATTTTGCACTTTATATATGGCGGACTAGTTACGTGAATTGAGACGTATTTACTTTTATATAGGAGAGATTAGCCCTCTTACCAATACATCTATATTGTGTCAATAAACTACCGTTTTTCTATTTTGCTTTAAAATTAATAGTGGTATCATTTTGGTATCTTCTATACTCAGATTGTACACTCATCCCTGCTTCTAGCCTAGATGTGACTGACACCTTGAGCACACATACTCCTGTTTTTTTTTTTTTTTTTTCCCCTCTCAACTCTTGCCCACACGCACGCTATGTTTAATATTTATTATTAAACATTTGGTTCATGTGTTAACCCCTTAAGGACGGCAGGCGTGCTATGCCGTCCTTAAAAGACCACTATAGTGCCAGGAAAACACTCGTTTTCCTGGCACTATAGTGCCTTGAGGGTGCCCCCACCCTCAGGGTCCAACTCCCGCCCGGCTCTGGAAGGGGGAAAGGGGTAAAAACTTACCTTTTTTCAGCGCTGGGCGGGGAGCTCTCTGCCTCCTCTCCTCCTCTGAATGCATGCACGCACGCACACATTCAGCCAGTCGCATAGGAAAGCATTCATAATGCTTTCCTATGGACGCTTGCGTGCTCTGACTGTGATTTTCAACTGCATACCCCATTTGCAATACCTTGTGTTGTCTACTTTTGCAAATGGTATGAAATCATGGGGGTAATTTTCATTCCTGGGCTACCACACGGTCTCAAAGGCAACGTAACCAATCTGGCGAATTTCAATGTGAGAAAACTGAAAAATGTAACATGCTATATTTGACCCTGTAACTTCCCAAAACACCATAAAACCTGTACATAGGGGGTACTGTTTTACATGTGAGACATCACTGAATACAAATGTGTATTTTATTGCAGTAAAAGCCAACAGTATTATGACATTCACAGGATGTCATGTATAACTAAAAAATTTTTTAACATTCATTATTTTCTCCCTTTTTAAAAATATTTTATTCATATTAAATTAATGTTTTATACCTAAATATTTGATGTTAAATGAAAGCCCTGTCTCCCCTGAATAAAATATATATATATTGTGAGCGTAAAAGTGGAATTGTGATTGATGGAAGATACATCAGGCCTGATTTGTTAAACAGCAACCTGAGAATTTTCAGTTAAATGCCACAGGGAGAGATGTTAGAGTTTGCAATCTACATTGCTGAGTTTCTGCAAAACATGGTATGGGTCCCTGGGGCGGAGTATTTGGAGAGCAGGGTGGGCCAATGCTCCAACAGCACTAGCTGCTGTGTAACAGACCACAATTTAGATCTGACTTAAGAGTTAACTAATTGGCACTCACCTGTAGCTGGTCAATTAGTAGACAGGCCTTTAAAAGAAGAGGGCAGCCTGCTGCAGAGTGAGTGAGGGAGGAAAATACAGCTAGGAGAGTGAATGACAATTCCAAGATTTTACTAGTAACATGACGTAAAGTCATGATTTTATTAATGACACGGAGGCGAGTATTATGCTCTTTCTTTTATTATTCTCCTCAGCAGCAAGAATTTAACTTGAAAGAGAATAAAAAACGAAATAACATAAGTAATCTGCCTAGTAACAGGGCAGCCAATCATATACATTTATCAACATTAAGTGTCTTGAACAGTCTTCTAACTTCCTCTTTCTTGTCTGTCTCGATGAAGAGCCGTCGTAACTTGAACAGAATAAGTCCCGTAACCTCCCATAACTTCCGGTGTTCTACCCAGTCAGTGTCCAGTACGTTACGCTGTGGAAACAAAGAGAATGTACGGTAAAATCCAAACTTTGGAACTGTATGTTATCCTTATGTTCCTTACACTTGATATAACAAACTGGTAAAACAAGTTAAGTGTGTACATAAAAAGGATGGTGTACATGCTCTTGAAATTCCTTGTTACTTACCTTTGCAAGAGTCTTAAGACTCTCCTTATAGACTGTATCACGCCCACCGGGTGGGTGGGGATAATACTTGCCTCCGTGTCATTAATACAATCATGACTTTACGTCATGTTACTAGTAAAATCTTGGAATTTTATTAATGACACGGAGGCTCATATTATGCTAGTTCAAAGCTTGGCCACTACCTGAAGAGAGATATGTTCAATTGGCCGAAAATAGAATTCTCTGAACGTCGATACTTGCGACCAATCAGCCGCCTTTAATATGTCCTCGAGGTGACAACCAATCGTTGATGCCTTGGATGCCATCGCGCCTCTCACCGAGTGTGCAGAGAATTTCGAAGTGTCAATTCCTGTTAATGCTAACAGGTTCTTGACCCAACGAGCTAACGTGGGTGTGGACACTGGTAGAAAAGGGGTTCGAAAGGATATAAATAATTGACTTGATTCAGGTGAGCGTAACCTCTGAGTACGATCCAGGTAGGACCGAAGGCATCTGACCGGGCATGGTGAAGGATGTCCTGGGTATCTCAGGTAAGAGATAGATTTTGTATTGCCTTTAGTTCGTCTCGATATGGAGAATGATACGCCCTCTGGGGTGAATGACAATGCGTCCCAGTCCAAGGCTCGCACGTCCGATATCCTCTTGCAGGACAGTAAGCATAACAGAGTCAGCAGTTTCCAAGACAGGTGTTTAAGGGAGAGTTCCTCATTTGGCATCCATTCTTCCAGGAAGTGCAAGACAATGTTGACATCCCAGAATGAAGAATAGCGGGTCTGTGGAGGTTTCTCAAAGCGTATCCCCTTCAGGAGTCTACAAACAAAGGGATGCTGACCGATCGGGGAGCCCTCCAGGTCTCGGTGTCATGCCAAGATCGCCGACCTGTACACGTTAACGGTACGATACGCTCTTCCTTCTTCGAAAAGGGACGTCAAAAACTCCAGTACTTCTTTCAGAGGTGCTGAAACCGGATCCACTGACCGTTCCATGCACCAGCTAGCCAACACTCGCCATGCAGAGTTATAGGCCGCTCTGGTCCCTGGAGCCCAGGGGTTGTCCATGAGTCTTGTAACCGTCTGTGGAATGTCTGTGAATGTCCAGGGACTCCGGAAATCAACCAGACCGTGAGTTGCAGCAGGCCCTGATTGATTAGGTTGTGCGGATTCCCCTCTGGGTCCAAGAGCAAGTCTGGTTTTGCTGGTATTACTCGTGGAGAGTCGATTGCCATTTCTAGTAGTCGAGGAAACCACGGCTGAGCGTGCCATAGTGGAACCACTATCACTAGTGAACAGTCCTGTGTGCATAGGTATGATAGTGTCCTGGAAATGAGATTGAAAGAGGGAAATGCGTAATGCCGAGACTTCGGCCATGTCTGTAGGAAAGCATCCGTCCCCGAGGCTGTTGGATCTGGTCGCCAGCTGAAGTATTGAGGCAGGTGACTGTTCAGTCTGGATGCAAAAAGGTCTACGTCCAGTGGTCCCCACAATTCGTCTATTTGGCAAAAGGTAGAGCGGAGAAGACGCCAGTCTCCCGGATCTCGCAGATATCTGGAATTCCAGTCCGCTTGTACGTTGTCTAAGCCCGGAATGTGTTCCGCTGTCACCGCAATCTCGTTCTGAAGGCAAAACTGCCAAAATTCCTTCGCTAGGTTTGCTAGTCGTTTGGATTTGGTGCCTCCTAGATGATTGATATAACGGACTGCCGAGATGTTGTCCATACGGAGCAGTATACAACATCTCCCTACCATAGGGGAGAGACTGCGGATGGCGAACGATCCTGCCAGAAGTTCCAGGCAATTTATGTGCATTGTGGATTCCTCCATGGACCATCTGCCACAACGCGCGCACCAGCCATGGAGGCTTGCATCCGATTCTATAATCAGGTCCGGGCTGGTTCCGAATATTGCTCGGCCGTTCCACGCCTCCATATGGTCTAGCCACCACCTCAGCTCCTCTCGTGATTCTACATCCAGGACTAGTGCGGATTCGTATGAACGGCCGGACCTGAGGTGAGAACCTTTTAGCCGTTGTAGGGCACGATAGTGTAGAGGCCCTGGGAAGATGGCTTGTATCGAGGAAGCCAGTAGTCCTAATACTCGGGCTAGTTGTTGAATAGAGAGAGATTGAGCTCGTAATGTGCGCCTGATCTCTTTTTTGATGGCCTTCAATTTCGTGTCCGGGAGGAGTAAGAATTGTGAGATTGCGTCGATCTGGAATCCCAGGAACTCTATCTTTTGGACTGGATTGGTTATGGATTTCTCCCAATTTATCAAAAAACCCAGAGTCTCGAGTAATGTGATGGTCCACTGTAGGTGGAGCAGTACTTGGTCTTGTGAGGATGCCATGATTAAAATATCGTCCAGATATATGATCAGACGAACTCCTCGTGCTCTGAGAAAGGCTACCACAGGCTTCATGAGTTTCGTGAAGCACCAGGACGCTGACGACAGACATGTAAATCTCCAACGTCGCCCTTGCCATGTGAAATGCAAGAGGTCCCAGTGTGCCTCTGCAATAGGGACGGTGAGGTACGCGTCCTTGAGGTCCAATTTGACCATCCAATCTCCCTGTTGTAATAAATCCCTGAGGCAATGAATGCCTTCCATTTTGAAGTGTTGGTATGCGAGGAACGCATTGAGTTCCTTTAAGTTTATGACTGGCCGCATACCTCCGCCTTTTTTGGTTACCAAAAATAGGTTGCTGGTAAAACCTGGGGTATCGTATGGGATCTCTTGGATTGCCCGTTTGGTATGGAGGTCTGTAATCTCCTTTGTTAGGAGTTTGGTTTGGTCTGGGGCCAATGTCAGTTCTCTTGGGACATGGATTTGAAATGGGGTAGATATAAGGTCGAGATAGAAACCTCTGACAGTCTGTAACACCCAAGTGTCTTTTGTGAGCTCGTCCCATGCATGCGCAAACAGCGCAAGCCTGCCCCCTATGTGTAGATGTGGAGGAATTAGAGATATTGCACTTACCGTAAGGTCGTCTGTAAGTAGATTGTCTGTGGCTTCCCCGAGAAGGCCATGGACGTCCCCTGGACGGGAAGAAGGGCGACGGCCGGAACTCCTGGTATGTGCGGGGCGCTCCGAAGGAGCTTCTATGGACCCTGGAGGGGCCCCGATAGACTCGGCCGGGTGGACGGCTCCTAGATCTCCCGGCCCCGTGCAAAACCTTGGGGTTAAACACTCTCTTAAGGTTGGCCTGAGCCTTATCTAAAGTGGTAAAAGTTTTGACAAAAGCCCCGATGTCCTTGACAAAGGACTCTCCAAATAACATCCCCTGGGCTGTGGGTCCAGGTTCTCTATTTGCCAAATTAATCAACTTAGGTTCAATCTTAAGTAAAATTGATTTACGGCGTTCCGCCCAGATGGCTGTGCTGGCAATACCCAACAAGCAGATAAGCCGTTGGACCCATCCGATGGCTACATCGAAATCAATGGTGGACTCTCCCGCCTTAGCGGATTCGAGTAATTCACATAATTTCGTGGTTGGCCCCAGGGTGTCTAGTATTTTGTCTTGACAGCTGTGGAGTGAGAACTCCAGCCCCTTCTTGGGATTCCAGACAGATTTTGAGAGGAACTGGGCAATATGTGGGTCCACCATGGGGGTTTTGCAGGCCATGTCTGGTACGGAGGGTCTGGGACACTCTGCTCGTGGTTTATTCCTACTCTCGTTAGAGAGAGGGGTACGCAGATGGAGCGCCAAATACTGCGCAATGTGCGTTGGCGGGTCCCACTCCGCCGAGCGAGGGTGGCGGAGGTTGTCCGGGTCGAACAGGGGATACCCCTGAGGGTCCCGAACACCATCCTCCACACCCGTCGGTTCCACTACAGGACTAGACTCCTCATCCGAGTCGGAAGCCATATCATTGTAAATATAATCCGGGTCATCTGACCCCATCTCCTCACTATGGTCAGAATCTGACTCTTCGTATTGGGCACGTGCCCGTTTCCAATTTCTGGCCGCTTGCGCCCGACCAGTGGCTCTTGTGCGTGGCAACACGCCATCTGGGACCGCCATAGGCGGGTCAGTCATGGCAGGGGAGACCTGCATCAGTGGGAGCGTTGATGTATGCTTAGTTTTGGCCTTTGCCTTGCGGGCCGCAGGGACTGGTACATCAGTTTGGGCCGTTATAGTAGGTTGCACTTCAGGGGGTAACATGAGTGCCTGGGCCAGGGAATGGGATAGGGAGGTGGACACAGACCCCATGGCTGAAGCCAAGGCTCGCTGGACCGAACCGGCCATAGTTGATTCCAGGAGAGACTGGAATTCCTGAGAGGGTAAATGACCCGGGTCTAGGCCAGGGGTGGTTAAGGTATTCTCTATATTAGGGCATCCCGGGCCCCCATGTCCATCTCCGTGATTTTGCATTTTATTATCCAAATCACTGATAACAGAATGCCCACAAATGGGAATGACTGAATAGGTGTGCTAGGCAGGGAGCAACAGATCTGGATAAATAAACACAGGTTTTTTTTTTGTTTTTTTTTTAGTAACTCTCAGTAATTTCTTTTTTTTAGAATTGGGAGAGATGCCTTTAAATCAACCCAGAAACAAACTCCCAGCACACAGCCAGTTAAAGACTAAAGTGCAGAAAAAAAATTGTACAGGGGAAACAAACAAGCAAAGAAACAGTAAAGGCTATAAGAAGAGTAGTGAGAAGGGTTGATTAACCCTAAAAAGCAAGATAGGGGAAAATATAAACATACAACCTTGCCCCCCCGAAGGACAGCAGGAGCAACTAGGAGCCGTTCAGCCTTCCCGCGCTTCAGAGAAGAAAGCGCGCCGAAGGCAAACTTGCTCCACCCCCCCCTCCAGTAATGGCCGCGAGGAGAGAACTCCTCGCGGCCCCAGACCGCCGGACTTAAGTAAACCCGGCGGGGAATAGAGTGAGACAGAGCTGCTCGGCACCCACTGGGATTTCTAAGCGGGTGCCGGCAACTACACAGAAGGGAGGGCACTAGTGAGACCGCAGACGCGTGGGCGGTGCGGTCTCACAGCCTGTCAGACCCCTCTCAGCCCTGGCAGTTAGTGAAAGCCAGGGAGAGAGGGAAAAATGTCTGAAGCTAAGCCCAACAGTGTAGGAAAAACACTGCAATACTGACCCCTGAAACAGGGACAACAGTTAAAGACAATCAAACATCAAACAGTTAAAACAACCAACATTTAAAGTGATATAAACAAAAAATATGTGTGCAATGAAAAATTAAGAGTACAGAAAAAAGTCACTTATCTGACCTGAGGAGCAGCAAGAAAGAGGAAGTTAGAAGACTGTTCAAGACACTTAATGTTGATAAATGTATATGATTGGCTGCCCTGTTACTAGGCAGATTACTTATGTTATTTCGTTTTTTATTCTCTTTCAAGTTAAATTCTTGCTGCTGAGGAGAATAATAAAAGAAAGAGAAAGCATAATATGAGCCTCCGTGTCATTAATAAAATTGTGCTTATTGCAAAGCCATTTCTTTTGTTTGGAAAATTGGTAAGTGGGAAAGCCACCCAATTGCAGATAGCAATTCCTGTCTAGTAAGAGCTCAAGTAAGAGCAAGGGATTTTGTTTGTTTTGTTATTATTTAAAGCACCTGTTTTCTTATTGAATAAAAAGGAAAACCGAGCTGAATGTGTCCTGGACTTTGTATACCCTAGAAGGCTGTGGTTACTGCAAGATCTGTGACAATCCTACCTGTAAAATAGGTGGTTTGTTACAATACACACACACACACATATATATATATATATATATATATATATATATATATATATATATATATATATATATATATATATATATATATATATATATACACACACATACACACACACACACACATATATACATACATACACATAATATGAAATAGGCCGAATTACGCCTGAACAGACATATAGCGCAAATTCTAATTTGTTTACGTTTTTGTTTTGATCACAACGTGTACATTTGGCTCAGTCCTTAAAGGACCACTCTAGGCACCCAGACCACTTCAGCTTAATGAAGTGGTCTGGGTGCCAGGTCCTTCTAGGGTTAACCCATTTTTTCATAATTTACTTAGCGGTTCAGAGCGCTATAATTATGAATGGAGCCTAATCTCTAGTGGCTGTCTGCATTGACGGCCACTAGGCTTTTAAATCTTCTCACTGTGATTTTCACAGTGAGGAGCTTGCCCATAGCGTCCAACAAAGCATTGGCAAATGCTTTCCTATGCGATAGGCTGAATCTTGGCCTTGGCTGTACGCGGCGATGCGCGTTCAACCCGGCAGAAGCGGTCGGAGGCGGAGAGGAGGAGGAGAGCTCTCCGTAGCGCTGGAAAAAGGTAAGTTTTAACCCCTTTCCCCTTCCAGGCGAGGCGGAGGGGGACCCCTGAGGGGTGAAACACTCAAGGGCACTATGAATGCCAGGAAAGCGAGCATGATGCAACTATAGTATGATCCCTTTAGGGGTTAAACTACCTGAAAAGTAATGTTTTGATGCCTGTATTCACAAATGCCCATATCACTCACTATGTCTCCAATGATAACCATTAAGCGACCCACTCCTGTCTACATAACCTTTATTAACTACACTTGTGGCATTGATTTGTTTATTTTTGTTACAAAAAACGTGCAAGTATATCATGCCATGGCGGTGTATTTTCCTGTAAGTTAATGCAATGCTTGTTGTGGCGCTACAAGCCTGTTTGTTCCTCTTTGCACAAAAGAATAAAAAAAAAAAAAAAAATCCACAAAGCTTACCCAACAATCATGAAATCAAAGCCTAAGTTTATAATAGTGCAGATTCCTATTGAAATCGGCACTTATACAAGCTGTCACAAATATTACTAGACACCGAACATATTAAGCACATTACTAAGCTGAAGTGCTTCATGTGATGGAATGTTCCTTTTATCACAAGTCATACATTACGCACTGAAAGGAACACACCAATGACAGAATTCCATGTATTTCTAATGTTACAGGTACTGCTTAGGTTTTTACATGTATAAATAAAGTAGTTTTACGTACCTTTTCTGACTTCCTCCCCTGGCTGAAGTCATTAAAGGGACACTATAGTCACCAAAACAACTTTCGCTTAAAGGACCACATTCTAGGCACCCAGACCACTTCAGCTTAATGAAGTGGTCTGGGTGCCAGGTTCCTCTAGGATTAACCCTTTTTTAAATAAACATAGCAGTTTTTTTTGTTAGGGTTAATCCAGCCTCCAAATCCTCTAGTGGCTGTCTCATTGACAGCATTAGAGGCGCTTGCGATTCTCACTGTGAAAATCACAGTGAGAACAGCAAGTGTCCATAGGAAAGCATTATGAAGCTTTGCGCTGCAGCATTCACGAAGGAGGGAGAGGAGGCAGAGAGGGAGGGAGGGAGAGCTCCCGCCCGCACTGGAATAAAAGGTGAGTTTTAACACTTTCCTCTCCCCAGAGCCTGGCGGGAGTGGAACCCTGAGGGTGGGGGCACCCTCAGGGCACTATAGTGGTCCTTTAATAAAGCAGTTTTGGTGTATAGATCATACCCCTGCAGTCTCACTGCTTAATTCTTAGGCATTTAGGAGTTAAATCACTATATTTATGCACCGTAGTCACAGCTCCCTGCATGCGACTTGCACAGCTTTCCTAAACACATCCTGTAAATTATCAGCTAATGTGTAGCCTTCATTTATTGCACGTTCTGTTCAAATTTAGATTTTCTTATTCCCTGCTATGTTAATAGTTTGCTAGACCCTGCTAGAGCCTCCTGTATGTGATTAAAGTTCAATTTACAGAGCAGGAGATAAAATAGTTTAAGTTAATTACATCTGATTGAAAGTGAAACCATGTTTTTTTTTTTTTTTTCATGCAGCCTGTGTCAAATCAGAGCCAGGGAAAATGTGACAAGTGCTGCATAAACAGAAACAAAGTGATTTAACTCCTAAATGGCAGTGAATTAAGCAGTGTAACCTGAGAGGCATGATCTATACGTTAAAACTGCTTCATTAAGCTAAAGTTTTTTAGGTGACTATAGTGTCCCTTTAATTATGATCTGAACCAATGCTGCTTCTAATAAAAACATTGCAGGTCTATTCTGCATTCGTGTTGATCTGTTTCTCTTTATTGAGATGCATTACATCAATGACTGAAGATACAGAACATCAGTCTTGCAAATATTGTAGGATCATAATAGGAACCACCTCTAATGGCTGTCTGTGTCGCTGACAGCCATTAGAGATGCATTCTTAGCAACACATTTAAACACTGCCTTTTCACAGAAAATACACTGATCTGTGGGACTGCAAGGATAGTTCCTTTACACAATTTCTGTATTAACCTGTAGTGGTTCTGGTATTTAGAACTTCTTCAAAAGGATACTCAAAGCACCAAAACAAATTTAGCTCAATTAAGCAGCTTTAGCGTAAAGATCATGCCTCAGCAGTCTCGCTGCTCAATTCTCTGCCATTAAGGAGTAAAATCCCTTCTGTTTCTGCAGCCCTAACCACATCTCCCCTGGTTGCGACAGGCCTACATGATGAAAAAAAAAATATATTTTATGTTCAATCAGGTGCGACAGCACAGTGTGTATACTTTAGAAGTTTTTACCTCTTGCTCTACTAATTTAACTTTAATCACACACAGGTGGATCTTGCAGACTCTAGTAGGCAATTAACAGAACTGTTAAACAGACCGTGCAATAAAGGACATTAACCCCTTAAGGACACATGACATGTGTGACATGTCATGATTCCCTTTTATTCCAGAAGTTTGGTCCGAAGGTGTTAAAGCATTAGATCTCTCTTTAAAGACATGTGTAGGGATACTGTGTAGGTCACATGCAGGGAGGTGTGACTAAGACGGCATAAACAAAGTGATTTAAATGACCACTCCACACACACCATGCTGAAGTGTTCACGGGTAAGAAGTATCCCAATAAAAGGCATTTTAGAAATTGGCACTTTGATTACTAAATAATTAAACACCCGCTGGATGTCAACTAGCTTGGACTGTTTGCTTCCTGCTTCCGTTAGCTGTCGGCGCATCCTATTTGAGCACGCCTGACTCTCCCCACCTACCTCTACCCAGACATCAGATCAGAGCAGGTCTCTTTCGGTACAGTGTGTGTGCGCACAGATAGCTTCAGAGACTTCTCAATGAAAGTCTCTCCTAGGGAAAAAAGGGGAAGGCTTGCAATAGCTGCATCTTTTAAGATATACCCCAATAAATACATGCATAAAAGAATAATGTATTAATTGGGGAATGTCGAATACATATTGATTTATGACTGATCCTTTAACTCCTAAATGGTAGAGAATTGAGCAGTAAGAGTAAGGCTGCTGGGGACAAGATCTAAAAAAAAAACAAACAAAAAAAAACAACCCACTATTAAGCGAAGGTTGTTAATGCTTTTCGTGTCCCTTTAAACATTACCCCTTACCAGGTCCCTCAGTGGTGGGATGGTACAAATACAGCTAAAAAAAATAAAAATAAAAAAAAATAAAAAAATACGTATATACATAAAATTCCTATATACACACACACACACACACTATATATATATATATATATATATATATATATATATATATACACACACACACACATACAGCCCCCCCTCCCCCCCAGCCTTGTAATTTTTTTTAAAGAAACACCAGAACAATGCAAAGAACTGCATGCACACACTTGTATTGCTGACAAGTAGAACCTGCATTCTATACACCATGGAAACATGACTGTACACTGAGGGGGCAGTAAATAAAATATAACGTTAGCAAAATTCATGGATTAATAGGGAAAAATCAAATAATCCAAATTCCATTAAGTAAGTTTCTTCAAAACTTTTCATTTGATGTCCTCCCGTGGTCTCTATCAAAACCCCCCACACATGTTCACCCAGAACTCCATTTACAGAAATACATTGACCCCTCAAAACGAGCATCTGACATAAAAACCATGAGAATCACAGCCGATATCACATCAGGCAGTATGGAGATCTTCATTTACATCTACCTAACAGAGCAGTGCTTAAAGTACAGCAAACCCTGATCAGCAATGATCCTCATCCACAGCGCCGGCAAAATCCATGAAGGCTTCACCACCCCCAGCCACCAGCTGCTAGGCCGCAGTGTTGTTGTTCCCAATATGGTCCGCCTCGGGAGTGGCCAGCTCTGATTGGCCAGGGGGAGCGGCCTCCAGAGCCTGCAGCTGTTCCTGCTTATTACTGCTTGCTGGGGATTGAAGCTAAGTGGGTGTGATCTGCCGGTAAGGAGACCTCCAGCTACAGCCATAGCCATGTGTTCCACTAATGTCCATTTATTTCATTGACAGCAAGTTGCCTTCCCGCATTGTGATCAAAGAAAACAGTAGTGAGATTATAGATATATATATTGCACCTGACTGTGTAATTGATTAATTGAATAGACTTTGCATGTAGTGTGTGTAGGCTGGCTTGGTAGTGAGCATAGATGAGGAATATGCCACATTTGTTCATTTCAGATTTGTAATTTTAATAGTAAAAAAACAAACATATTTTGTTTGACTCTGAATCTATTTGATTTTGGATATCTGTATATTGACCAACAGTAGTTTGTGCTGTGTGAATATATATTTTATACTTTTCTTGCACGTTTTGGGGGTTTATTCACTAAACATTAACTTTTAGTAAATTGAAAAAGGGAATTTAAAAATTCAGGCTATAATTTTCAAAATGTGATTAGATAAATTGTATATTTTTTTTTTGTTTCTTTCTGAATCAGTTTTCATTTCTAAAAGTCAAGTTGTAGTTGACTGCAGTCCTGCTACAATTATTTACTAAACAATAAATTGTAACAAATTATGATACAAACTCCAAAACTTAGGATAAAATAGCCAAACTGTTACTATGTTGACCTGCATTATGCATTTGAGAGTATTAAAGATGTTTTGTATTTCACAACTTTGAAGCCCATGAACATTTTAATTGTACTTACTGAATTAATTTTTAGAGGCGTTGTTTATTAGACACAAACTGGTTACTCAACTTGGGACAACAGTTGATTTTCCTGATATATTGATGGTGATAACACACTTATTTCTCACACAAAGCTGCATCTGAGACATTTTATTGTAAGTCTGAATTGATCTTTAGTGATGAATGTTTTGTTTTTTAGGCTATATGTATCAAGGAACGCAGGTTCTAAACTCAGGCAAGCTTCCAAATGTTAAAAGAGAGTTATTCACTAATGTGAGAATTTTCTGGAATGTAAATTAAAGCCCAAAATAGACGCACTGAAAAAAATTCTCCAAGTCAGCAATGCTTTTAGTTGGTCTATTTTGATGTTAATTTTAAAATGTAATTCTTATTCCCAACAATTCTCGCTTTAGTACATAGGTGACAATAATGATTATGCCTTCTGTTGTAATTTTTCCCCTCATCAGAATAGCAGCTGTATATCCTTGCTCCATGTTCCCTAGTGAAATCTTAAAATCCTAGAAGTGCACAAGGAGTGTACTTGGTGTGCCCATGTACTATGGGCCAGTTTTACTTTTTGTACTCTGCTAAGGTCTTTACAGACACGCCATATATTTTGCTTAACTTTTTATGTTTATACAGAAACAAATGTGTATTATTTCTGTATATATGTGGTTATCACTAGGTAAATGCATGGTTTTCTTTATTTTCTATATTTTTTTTAATATATAAAGTTTAGGTGGTAATTTTGATGAAATTTTCAAGCATAAGCATACATTCGGGTTAACTCTAGGGTAAAATTCTAAAAGTAGAGCATTTGGCAGGAACGCTCTACTGGTTCCATTTGAAGAATTTTGCCCAAACTTCCTTTATACATAAATAACCCCTATTGTATATAAATAATGAAATAAATCTAGTTCATTCAGCCTGAGCATTTTAACTGTGGGGTATCATGAGTCATTCTGTATCTTAACCCTGCTTTCTCTGTCCCACTTTATACATTGTAAAAGTTTTTAATAGTAACAGAGTATACAGATCCATTTATGCCCTCTCAATTTTCATTGTCTCCCCAATAATACTTTTGTTCATTTATTTGGGAGGTACAGCAGATGTTTCTGTGAGATGCAGTTCAAAAAAACGATGACTAGAGTGCATCTACCAGACACCCCTGCTACACCAACATTGGTTGTTTAGGGATAGTCGGCACTGTGAAAAGTCTCATAGAGAAACATTGTTTGATCTCTTACATGTTTGGGCAGTGCAGACTTATGTGACGTCTGGAACATTATTGCAGGTGTATCAATTTTAAATGTAAACAACTCTATTATTTTGGATGTGTTGTTTTTGCATAATTTAATGCACTATCTCTACACTCATGGGAAAATGTACACCCTCTTTGAATTCTATAGGTTTACATATCAATAATCTGTTCCTAAGTAGGTCTTAAAAGTAGGCAAATGTAACCCTCTCATCATCACCCCTTCCCTCTCACCATAACCCCCCTCACACCATTATCCACTATACAAGCACACACAGTGAATCCACTGCACAAACACACTGTATTCACTATACAAAAACACACACTTGTCTGTCTGTGTTTTGTCTGTATCTGTGTATGACTGTTTCTATTTAACTGCATGTGTGTATACATCTCAGCATTTCACCTACACTACACACAAATACAACCCTGCATCCAAATGTCAACACTACATAAAAACACACCACCATATTCAACAACCACACTACAGAAAAAATGCATGCCTGCATTCAAATGCCAATACGAGCAAAAACACCCATACATTCACTCACAAACATACTCCATACAAAAACATGCTTACATTCAAACACACAATCACTGCTCGGTGCTAAATACATTTAAAAATTTGAAGATTTATATATATATATATATATATATTCGACCTGGGTGCCAAATCACCCACTGTCTCTTACAGGGTCACTCTCTCCCCCACACACAGTCACCCTGCCTAACACACAGTCACCCCCCACAATGTAGTATCACCATACTCTCACACACTGTCACAACCGCACACAGTCACCCCCTACACTTTCAGCTGCTTCACGCATCCACACTCACATTAACCACTCCTAAACCATGTCACACTTGCACCTACTGTCGCTCTGCCACACTCATCCTGTCACTTTAACCCCTCTCAATCTGTCACATTCTACCCTCCAACCCTGCCATAGTTACCCTGTCACATTAATGCCTTTTAATCCTGTCACACTTTGCCACATTCATCTGTCACTCTCTCTCCCCTCTCTATGCCACACTTATCTTGTCACATTAACCTCTCCAATTCTGTCACACTCCTCCACTCATCCTGTTGTCCTCCCTCAGTCTCTCTCTCACACACATCCCCACCCTGTCCCATTTACCTCCTTCGTCCTGTCACACTCTCCCTGCCACTGGTAACCATTTACTCACCCTGTCTCAGTCACCAGCTGAAGACATACATCATGCACACTTATTTGGTAAATTATTTTTTTTAAAGCTTTTTTGCTAAAAAAACAAAAAAAAAACAAAAACATTTTTGCTTCCAAAAACCCCTTCACACCAGTTCTTATGTATACACGACTGCCAGGCTATGCAACCATACCCCACAATTGTTTATAAACGATTGGCATACTTGCAAATTAAATTTATTTATTGCAAATTAATTTTGTCTGCAAATTATGCTACAACTACAGCCAGAGAGCTCACACCTCAGGGGCACAGGAAGCCGTGACACTGCATGCTTCTGAACAATGAATGCAGAGACTAACTCTGAATCCAGTGCTGCAAGCCCACATTTCAATATAGAGACTGCTCCTTACACACACACAATGCAACCCTATTTTTTTTTTTCCTTTACTTGGGTGTTAGTGGGGCCTCATGTTTGAGTTTCGCCAAGGCCTCATAAAGTCTAGAGACACCTCTGTGACCATGACCCAAAACACAGAGTCAAGGCAACAAAGGAGTGGCTCAAGAAGAAGCACATTAAGGTCCTGGAGTGGCCTAGCCAGTCTCCAGACCATAATCCCATATAAAATCTGTGGAGGGAGCTAAATGTTCGAGACCTTAAGTTGAAGGGGTCACATATCAATTTATAACTTTTTTTGATATGTGTTTTTTCTGGATTTTTTTTTTTTTGTGTTATTCTGTCTCTCCCAGTTAAAATGCACCTACCATTAAAATTATAGACTGATCATGATGTCTTTAACAAAAATAAGAAGATATTTTAAAACTATGTACCTTTAGAGTCACTATGGTGTAATTGCTCAGCCACTGTATGAGCTCTGCACATAGCTCATCTGTCTGTCACATAGCTCATCACTAATTGTGGCCTCAGCTGACCGAGGAGCAGGTGTATTGCAGACTTCAGAAACGTCATTATGCCAAACTCCATGCCAGATATCAATGTCTGGTTGCATGAGTGGCCCCTATCACTGTGATAGGTTGTCTGTTCTACATGGTCAAAGTTGATTTGTAGGTCTCAGTGTGCAACATCTATCACAGGTTAAAACTTTATAGTGCGCTGGCCCCAGAACTTCCTTTATTACCGCTACTTTCCAACGATTCTCATGAAGATAAACATGCATCCAAATAGAATCCCCTGTCTAGTAACAACGGCCTGCTTTCCCGACTTGCATCTCTGGTTTTAACAGATCCAACTTTGTCCTGAGTTCTCTGCCTAACTTAAGGCATGCTGGAGCTTGTCCAGTGGTTGGATGAGGTGTATTTCTATACTGTAGAAGGAACTCAGACAAATGTTGTTCAGGTCTCTTTCCTTCTGCTTTCAGATTTCTCAGAAAACCCTATAGAGTTTGAACAAAACATTCTGCTTGACCATTAGCAGGATAATACGGTGCTGTTTGATGAAGCCGAATACCATTTTCCTTGAGAAAAGCCTGAAATTGTCCAGAAACAAACTGCGGTCCTTTATCTGGAACAAGCACTCTGGGCAAGCCAAATGTTGCAAATAGTTTCTGTAATGCTTTAACAGTAGCTCCTGCTGTGGCCTGTGACATGAATAGAACTTATGGCAATTTAGAATATGCATCTACCACAATCAGATACATTTTATTTTCCACTGGTCCAGTCTGTGTGAATTCTCTGCCATGGTGATGGAGGCCAGGTCCAAGGTTGTACTGCATCATGTGGCAAGTCACGCTGCGCTTGTGCACAACCAGTGCGACTATGAAACATAACAGGCAATATCCTCATCAATGGTTGTCCACAATACATGACCTCTTGCCTTCTGCTTCATGCGGGCTATGAAGAATCTGTTTTGTAACACACAAGGGATTACAACCCTTTCTCCACAGATTAAGCAGTGATTTCGAATTGGTAATTCCTGAGCACTTGTTTTGAATGACTTGAGATGTATGAGTCTTTAGTGTTCAACCACTGCATACAAAAACAAGTATTTCCCTCAGCACGGAGTCCTTGGCTGTCTCCTGTACAATTTCTCTGGCTGTTGTAGATTGTAGAGCTTTCTTTGGCAGTTAATTGTGAATCCATTTTGGAACATAGAAAAGGCATTTGCATTAGAATGCAGGGAGATATGACAATATTGTCCTATCTTATACTGATAGGCTCCCAGAGTTAAGGCATACCTCTGAAGCCTTGCTGCTGTCGTGATTGAGATACTTTTCTGTGGGTTAACAACTGTCAGTAAAGGTTTATGGTTCGTATGCAGTTTGAACGGTCGACCATATATTGGGCTTTAATACAGCTTTATTTAGCAAGCCAGCCCCAACTTAGCCACAGCAAAGCATTAAACCAAAATAAACTCCTACGCCGCACTGGAGACTAACATATAGTACCCTTTCTATGCTACTGGGCAGCTAAGCTGTGTGTGTGTGTGTGTGTGTGTGTATATATATATATATATATATATATATATAATATACACACACACACACACACACACCCCTGCGGCCCCCCGGCTACCTGTTTATTGCAGCGGGGGCCCACAGCACACGCTCACTTCACTGCCCAGTAGCTCCCTTCAGCTCCCCTGTCTAAATCTCGCAAGTCCCACTGCCATCAGAGAGTTGCCACAGGTAACCATATATGTATGTGTGTGTGTGTGTGTGTGTGTGTGTGTGTGTGTGCTTGGGCAATGTGGGGCCCGGAACTCCCAGAGCAGTCTGGGCCCCCCAGGACTGCCAGGCCCATGACAACAGTGAAGGTTATCATGTCCTGATGGCGGTCCTGGCAGCCGCCATTTCAAATCCCTAGAACATTCCACCAACTGCCAACAGGAAGTAAAGAACCAAAAGAAAGGAAGTGCATCATCCACAGCCAACAACATCCCAACCGCCCATACATCATAACACACAAACTCAGACACACACACACACACACACAGCCCAACAGTCCACACATCACATTCACCTTGAAAGACTTCTGCGATTGAGGATACTAAACTGAATTGTAGTGGATTGAAATTTGAATGGAAAAAATAAGGTGAAAATCTTGAAAAATTCTTCAGCTTGTTATAGCTAGGATGTTTTGGTCTATTGCCATTCAGTTTTTTAGTTTGCAACAGTTTGTACTTTATAGGGACATTCACAGGATCTGGACCACTAAAGCTTACCTTGGTGGTTTGGGCTCAAAGCGTTTGTCCCTTCAGTCTCCCATTTTTAAACAATGCCTTTTCGAAGAAAACAGAGGTGCTTCCTATGACAGTCCTGCAACTTTGCTGGACCGCCATGTGATATCTTTCCGCTCAGCAGATGTAGAACACTCCCCATAGAGGTGCATTGGTATAATGCATCAATATGAGGCAATGTTGATTGGCGCATGGTGTGCTCAGTAGACCCATAATGCTACTTTTATGAAGAAGTAGTCGATTGGCTAAAATCATCAGTAATGATCTTGGTGAGTGTGACGGCCACAGCAAGGCTGGCACATCGAAGATGAGTACAATTTTCATTATATTAGGCTTAAAAGGGTGGCTCTAAATCTAAATATGCAGGAGGAAACTCTGATAGAAATACATGTTTGCATTTCCAACAGTAAAGTTTTTCTTTAATGAACAAATCCCTTAGTCTCTAAGTTTTCCTCATGAATAAACAAATTGGTGAACTAAATAATGTTGTAAATACACTCCCCTCCTGTGTCTTCATTTATAAAATTGCTTTTATTATAGCTCTCTGATTCATATTGACTTTTAGTAGAACATGTAGTCATCTGCGGGAGTATTAAATAATTCATAAGCCTATTTTTATAAATGGATAAGCTAATGTTTATGTGATGTAGATGTGCATAATTGTCTGACACAATGCCTATTTTTTTCCCTTATGAGGTTGTAAATGGCATTTGTGTATGAGTGAGTATATTGAACCTTGTATACGTGTTAGCCCTACTAAAAATACTTGTTTCATACAAGTTTAACGCACCACTGTGAGTTTGAACCTGCTGGGCTTGGTCACTAAACGGAAAACTGATGTACAAATTTTAGACTAGCATGTCTGAACGGTTGCTGCACATTGCATTCAGATAGTATTCAGACACAAATTTTTATATTGCAGCCTTAAGTTACAATTGTTTACATTTGTAATTTTCAGTCTACACTCCATGACCTATACTAACAAAGCAAAACACTTAAAAGGAAACTAGTGCCAGGAAAACCAAATTGTTTTCCTGGCACTATCGCTCCCCATAGTGTCCCCTCTCCCTGTGGTGCAGAAAACCACTTCTGTCACTTACTTTGTTCCAGCGTTCACTTTCATTTCTCGGCGGGAGGAGGGAGCACTATATAATGCTTTCCTATGAGGCTTTACGCTAGATGTCCTCATGCATTGCTGGTAGACAGCCACTAGAGGTGAAGTTAACCCATAAAAATAATTATTGCAGTTAATTAAAAACTGCTATAATTACCTTTCTAGGATTAAGGGACGTGGGAATATGCGCCCAGACCACTTCAATGAGCTGAAGTCGTCTGGATACCTGTAGTGTACCTTTAATGAATTAATTATTTTTAAATGGAAAAGGTTTCAAATAACCAGTACTCTTACAAGAGTTGACCACCCGTATATTTGTCAAACTGGCTAGATGGAAGTATCTCCTCACTACAAGCAAGACATATGGAAGCCCACTTAGAATTTGCAAAGAAGCACCTAAATGGATCTCCGGCTATGAGAAACAAGATTCTCTGGACTAATGAAATGAAGATTCAACCATTTAATTCCTCAATTCAAAGCATGTTTATAGGAAACAAAGTACTGCTCATCACCTGTGCAATACCATCCCAACTGTTGGTAGCATCATGCTTTGGGGGGGGGGTTGCAGGGGTAGGGACTGGGAGACTGATCTGGGTTGAGGGAAAAGCTGAATGTAGCAAAATGCAGAGATATCCTTAAGGAAGAACTGTTTGATGGTGCTCAGGACCTCAGACTGGGTCAAATGTTCACTTCCCAACAGGACAATGAACTTAAGAACACTGCCATAACAATGCAGCATGGGCCTAGCGACACCTCCTGTGAATGTTCTTGAGTGGTCCAGCAAGAGCCTGGACTTGAACCCAATGAAACATTTCTGGAAAGAATTGGGGAGTGACCATCGACACTCCCCATACAACTTGACAGAGCTTCTGTAGATCTGCAGAGATGAATGACAGAAACAACATAATCCAGGTGTGCAAACCTGGTTGCATAATACCCCAAAAGACTTGAGGCTATAATTGCTGCCAAGGGTCTTTCAATGGAGTACTGAGTTAAGGGCCTGAATACTTATGTCAATGCATTTTTCTTTTATACATTTTGCAATCGTGTCCGTCTTTTATCTTCACGGGGTATTGAGTGTAGATTAATTTCAACAATTGTAGCATAAGGCTGCAATATAAAGTCAAACATTAAGAAGTCTGAATGCACTGTAGCCTTAGTTGGTGAATTTTTTGAAGTCATCTTTTTTGCGGCAAATTTAGTAATTTGATTTTAGTTCACTGCAGTTCTTGCCATTGGATATAATCTTGTTACTTTTTTTTTTTTTTTTTGTCATTCCCTTTTTATTGTTGTTTCACGTAGCATGTACATGACATCAAACAAATGCGATATACATTGAGGAAACAGAGAAATATGAGAAGAAAAGGCATCTTTCCCCTTACAGCGTTTGTTTGGAAATTTGTCCCTTTCCTCCTTCCCCTTACAGCGGTCTTCCCGTCTGACCCATTCCCCTCCCACCCCTATCCGTCCCACGTCTACAAGCACTATGCTATCCTTGCTTGCAGACTCAGTACCTACATTATTCGCCTGTCGAATAGAGTTGTTTAATGTATAGGGGCATAAGACTACCATTCGCCCATGTTATCTGGACCCATTCTAGGGCTATAAACGTTTCTCTCGCCTTACCTCCCGGGGTTTAGTTCGCCTTACTGCGAAGACTATAGGGCTCACTCAACACCCTATCGGAAACAGGTATAACCCCGTATGACCCCTCACTCGGTATGGGTCCCATCTAGGAGGCCGATGCTGGATTAGATTCCCACATCTCCACCTCCAGTGGTGGTACCCCCGGGGTGGGGGGCTCACGCCCGTGTTCCCGACAGGAGTCAGCCTGTGTCGACAGGTGCCTATATTGTTTTTCTCGTAGCATGTGGGAGGTTGTCTACCATATAGTCCTGTCGCCCTACTACCCTTTTTTGTATTTATTGGTCAGGAGTGGACTCGAATTCTCTCCGTTGGGTGGAATCAAAAGTTGAGCTGGCGTCCGTCGAAGGTTATGGGTGTCCTACCCGACTTAATGTGTAGTACGTCCTATGTCTGCGTGACCTCGGTCTTACCGCTAATCATGCTGCACCCTTCTCGAGGTAGGAGCTCCAGGGGTACCATTTGAGGGCGCACTTGTCCGAGCGCTCCTGCAGGGAGGCCGTCATGAGTTCCATTTCGTGAATGGCTTCTACCTTATCCACCCATTGGCGATATGTGGGGATTGTCTGGGCCTTCCAGTGTAGGGGTATGAGTGTTTTGGCTGCGGTGAGCAATTGTATGGTGAGCGAGTTTTTGTATTTGCTCAGGGGTGTGTTTGTATGGTTCAGGAGCATCTGCAGGGGTTGGAGGGGAAGGTCTGTGTCTGTAATTTCCCTGATCTTATTATTAATCATCCGCCAAAATGGAACTATGTGGGGGCAGGACCACCAAATGTGCAGGTATGAGCCTAGTTCTACCCCACATCGCCAACATTCCCCCACATCCGCCTGTGTCAGGTGTTGTTACTTTTTATTTTTCAAATAATGTCATAATCCAGTGTGGTAAGGCAAAGCCTTGGCAACTATTGCATATAAAGAAGAGGATAAATGGATACATAAATGGATACATTGATTTTCTTCTCATGTATTTGTGTATGCTGACTGCTGGGTACAAAATACATTGTAACAATGATCTAACTGGGAGTTAAAATGGAGGCAACTAATGGCAGGATAAAGAGATGTGGATTTTTAATTTTATTTTTCATACTTTACAAATGACATATTGGTTAATGTCAAAAGTCCTGTATAATAACAGTGCCTTTTAAAGCAGCATTATCACTATTGAATTAGTTCACTAAAGCGAGAATTGTCAGGAATTTGAAAGTGCATTTCAAATACTAGAACTCTCACTCTCTTGAGTGAAGTTTAGTCTTCGGTTTGCAGGGTATGTTGTTTGATTGAAAAAAGGGCTGCACCACAATAAATAGTGAATAAATAAACAATGTCCAATTCCAATAATGGAAGCAAATATAAGAGAAAGTCCAACCTAAGGATTCTCACTGTCGTCTTAAAGTGCAGGGGCAAGGTCTTCAGATGTTGTTATGGTTCCACTTATATGGAAGATAAAAGAGAGGAACAACCAATAGTGCAATATGTATAGCTCAAATAAAAATGCAGATAAAATAATGGTAGAGAACTCACATTTATAAGTGCTTATACCCAGCTCTAGGGTAAAGCGCG